TGGACTTGAACCGCTGAAGCGTCGACCATTTCTGGCCGGCAACTTTCAGCGTCATTAAGCCCTAAGAAGAACCCTAATCTAATCTAAGAAGAACCTAATCCTCCAGGGAAGATTTGTGAAACTTGTGAGAGATTGAATCTATCCTACCAATGGTGTCTATTTGTTTGTACACAGACATCACCAGACCGCTCTGTTTATATTAGAAGTCAACTGTCGAAGTCAGAGCAGGTGCCTGAATCTTACCAGAAGCATTCCAAGCTCAATACAGCCCCATTTCAAGCTTAAAACATTCAAACAGCTGTTTTAAGTTCTAAGTGGGGCATTTCAGTCTCAAAACAGTTTGTATTCAAAACTTTTACATACCCTCAATTTAAATCATTACAGAAAATATGTAAATTTTCTTTATGGGATTCAAGTTGAGAGAATGAGATAGACACAGGGTACATTTTTCCACTAACAAGATACAAAGGGACATTGGGTGCAAAAATGTCACATTAATTACAATTGATAGGCGATATTTTTTTAAAAAATGCATATAATTTCTTACTGAAACTAACATGAGCCTTGATGATAGTTGACATGACTGGTGTTATGATAATGAGATAATAGTCACCATTAAGATCCCATTAACCTGCAGTTATGGCCTATTACTAGTTAATTATCTATCTGATATGCAATTAGAAATTTCCAAAGCATATCTAAGAAATGAGCATAACTTTGAAAACAACATGAATTGTGGATTCAAGGATGAAAAAACTGTAAATGGTTACAAATTATGACTTTATATTATTTATGAATCAGAAATGTTAAGTTCCCCTATAGTATTTCCTGAGAAATTGGATTTTAGGGTCCCTCAACACATTTCAGCTTGGAATTACTAATGCTGAATATCCCAAATACTTATCATATAAAAGCCCTAGAACATAACCTTACTGCAAGTACCTGGTTGGTATCCCACATAGATGCTTGGTTTTATGATGTCTTCTGCTCTTGCCTCCCATGCAAGACTTTTAAAAGGGAACTGAGATTTTGATGACTGATCTAGCAGTTTCACAACATGGTGTCCAATTGTTTCTTCCACAGCTACAGTAGTCTTCACAATATCCAACAGAATATTCACCAGTCTGTTACTGGCTTTCTGCAAGGCACATCTGAACTCATAAAACAAAAAGAATTCCAGTTAACATTCATTATGGTGTATTATTTCCACATTTTGTCTATTATACAAAGACTAGGTCTTTGTTTTAAATGAGGACTCACGGAGCTATTTAATTAAGTCATTTAGAACAAGACATAAGTTAAAAAATAGGGATGGATTTCACAATTTAGAAATTATGAATTAGAAGCAGAAAATTATCTTCAGTAAGTTTGTTTATTGAATTAAAATATTTGTTAGCATCAGAACGTTTATAAACTTTACTTAGGGAACATATTCGGTTTCAGTAACAAATACGATTACCCATTTGCTAAAACTGAAGTCAAGAACTGAGTTCTCAATCCTACCCCACATCCTCCAAGTGTTCATAAAAAATTATTTCCTCACAGATGTTTACCACATTTGATCTTAGATAATAACAGGCCATGATCAAGAGAACAGCAAAGGTTTCCTTGAATGTAAGAAATGTAATACTCTCCCAAATATACTAACAGAGGTTTATTAAGCAATTGTTCATGTTACAAATTGTTTTTCAGAAAAAATAGTAACTATAAAAGTATTTTTTGACATTAAAAATACTTAATAATTAGAACTCATTCAGTGGCATAACATACATGCTGTGCAATGTGATAACTGAGCTCATTGAATTAAATGGAAGTTATTCCCCAATGAATGAACAGGTTTACAGTATATGCCAATTAATTTCTTTATACTGGAATGAATAATTTGTAAAGTTAGATCGCATAATATACAACCATGACCACTAGCCTAGGCAAACAGATAAATTCATGGCAGATAAAGCCATCAATAGCTACACATTATGGCTAGTGTTTATCATCTTTAGTTTTAGAAATAGCATGTCTCTTATCTTCAGTAGTTGGGGAACAGAAGTAGGAAAAAGCTCTTGCAATTATATAGTGCTTGTGGGCATTTGGTTGGCCA